CATACATACATACATACATACAAGTTATTGTTTACTGACCCTCCATCTTTCCAAGCATGATGTCCCTTTCCAGGGAATAGCCTTTCCTCACAACATACCCAGAGGCATCAGTCAAAGACATTTCTCACCACTGGACCAATAGGCAACATCATGATAAATGGACAAATGATTGAAACTGTGAGTGATTTCACCTTACTTAGATCCACATACACATATTTAGATATATGCATATATTTAATGAACAGAACAGAACGAGAGTCCCAGAACATGTGATTGTTTCCATGTGAAACCTGTGCTTGGTGGTAGTCATAAGAACAGAGCAGATGATACAACTTTGGTTGCTGAAATTGAGGACTTGAGGCATCTGCTGGAGAAAGTCAGGGACTATAGTCTTCAGTATGGATTGAAGTTCAACATCAAGAAGACAAAGATTCTTACCACTAGACCAATTGGTAGCACCATGATAGACTGAAAAGAGATTGAGATTGTCAACATTTCAGCTTGTTTGGTTCCACAATCAATATTCTTGGAACAAGCAGCCAAGAAATCAAAAAACTAACTGGGAATATCTGCTGTCAGGGACCTCTCCAGAGTGCTGAAGTGCAACAATGTTAGTCTAGAGACAAAGGTGCATCTGATCCAGGCCATGGTCTTTGCAATTACTTACTATGCATCAGAGAGCTGGACAATGACTAAGGATGGCAGAAGAATTGATGCCTTTGAGTTGTGGTGTTGAAGAAGAGTATTGAACATACCATGGACTGTCAAGAGAACAAACAGGCCTGTCCTGAAGAGGACTTTGTAGCTCCATCTTACATACTTTGGACATGTTGCCAAGATGGACTAGTCCTTGGAGAAGAACATCATGCTTGGAAGAGTGGAAGGGCAACACCAGAGAGGAAGAGCCTGGATGAGGTGGGCTGACACAGTGATTGGGATAATAGTGTAGGTTTGTCAGAGACAGTGGGACTGACTCAGGACAGAACAGGATTCGGAGCTATTGTACGTAGGGTCACTGTGAGGCACAAGTGACTTGATGCAACATAACAACAAAAACATATAGTTAATGTGGATTAGATCCACCTAAGACAGTTTATGAGGGGATAGGTCATCAAGGTCATCAGAACATGAACTTAATTTGCAGAGTTTCAAGTAAGGAAACTGCTTTTCCTTCTAAGTCCAGTTATCTTCATGAGCGGAGTTTGCTCAACTGCTCCCTAAACACCTGCTTTACCTGTTTGTTCCTCAGAGTGTAGATGAAAGGATTGAGCATTGGAGTCACCACAGTGTTGAGCAGGGCCACCACCTTGCTTCTGTCCTCCCCCTGGCTGCCCTTACCTGATCGGACATACATGAAGATACAGCTGCCATAGAATAGAGACACAACAATGATGTGAGAGGAGCAGGTTGAGAAGGCTTTCTGTCGCTCCTTGGCTGAGGGGATGCGTAGGATGGTGTGGAGGATGTGGCCATAGCAGGTGGCCGTCACAGACAGAGTTCCCAGTAAGCTGAAGTTGGCCACAATAAAGCCCAGAATCTCTATCAGACTTGTGTCTGCACAGATGAGTTCCAGGAGTGGGAAGTTGTCACAGAAGAAATGATTAATGATATTAGGGCCACAGAATGGCTGCTGAAATGTGATTAAACTTGGAACAATGATGAGAAGGAATCCTGTCACCCATGAACAAAGGACCAACTGCACACAGACCCTTTTGTTCATGATGGTGGCATAACGTAAGGGGTTACAGATAGCCACATACCTGTCAAAAGACATCACAGCCAGAAGGAGGAACTCTGTGGTGCCCAGAAAGAAATAAAAGAAA